GAACCTTGACCCTGAAGTAGAGCGGGGGGTCTGACTGTCAGTGACAAGGGAGGGGGTGTGAAAAGGAATACGAGGCCTTATTTATCTCCCTACATCCCCCCCCCCCTCCCCTCTCTGCTCAGATGCCCAGCAGAGGAGCTGAAGTGTAGCTGGAGGAGGAAGAAGAATGTAACACACACTCCCACACACACACACATGCACCTTTCAGGGTGGAAACTAACATCCCTGACACGGGTTTTCAAAATCTTTGCATACAACACACTTCTCACTACACTTCCACTCACTTTTTCTCTCTTAATTTGGCGGCTTGTACGCCAAAATAAAAAGTCTAAACGTACGAGTCACAGGCTGCAGGACTTCATCTGCTGAGTCTGATCCTAGAAGGAAGGTGTAAAAGTGAAACCTCAGTTTGTCTCTGTGTGTCTGTGCGTCTCCATTTTCTTTCTTTCTGCACCTGTTTCCTCTCCAAACTCGTCATTCCTTCAACATGTTAATTGCTTTTTGATCTCTGTGTGCTTTCCAGTCCGTGCAGACACGTTTTCTTGAACTGAACCATGAAGTTGTAAATGGAGGTAAAAATCCCTCAAACTGCACATTTCCTTCTCTTAAAGACACCACGTTGTTACATTAAATTCAAACCCTCTAAGAAGAGGGGAGAAGCTGCCTGTAAAATGTCTCCTGCAGAATATTTACGTCACTGAAACTGGAGTTAATAATCACCTGTTGCTTGTCGTTTCTGTTTGTGCTTCATCTCAGCGTGTTGGCGTGTGATGTCTTTTAAACTTTGTGTTTATTTAATATTTATCGAGCAGGACGTGATCCGGTCTCATGAAGGCTTGATTAAAACAACATGTAGGCGTAGATGAAAGGATGCAGAGTTACTCCTGTGCTTAGACTTTGAATCCTTCAGGTACACGGCTGTCAGCTAGAGGCCGATAACTTTCGACTGTGTTCACTTAACGATACTCACAGGACTAAGAATGCTATTATGGCAATGTGAGGATCTAGTAGGCGGATCGTACTCGCTTGTAAAGACGACTATCACTGGATTAGACACCAAAAAAAAATTTAAAAACATGATGAATCTTAGTGAGTAATTATGGATATCTACCCCTGAAGTTCAGGTCACAATGAGTCTAAATCAAAGGATATGAATAATGAGTGGATGCAGCCACCCTGACAGGACTCACTGGATCCTGGACTATCATTTGAAGCATCAAGTTTGCCTTTTTCTGATCTTGGAGCCAGTAGGGACCATATTTGGACGAGAGGAGCGAGGTGTTAGCTAATGCTAAGCTGCCAGCCAACATAAGCAGCAGCCCGGCTAGCATTAGCAAGGTGTAAAAAGAGGTGTTAATCAACATGAACAGCTGCTGTTTTTTTCAGGTCGCTGTTATCACTGCGTCCTAACAGCATGCAACGCCGGAGAGCGTTGGTGACCAAATCAGCTTGATTCAATCGTTTTTCTATTTGAGTGTCCCGACTGCCCGGGAGCTATGCGCCTTTTTTTTTTTTTGACCCTGTTTCTGTTTTCTTCTCTGTCTCTTGAGTGGACATGGAAGAGGATCAAAGTGGAGATATCCACATCAACAGTGAAGGCAGCTGAGTGATGATGGTGTTGAGAAGCAGCCAAACAACAAAACTCTGCTCTGGATCGTGCACCGTTTCTCTTCATCTCACCTCAAAGTGTGAAAACCACGGAGCAGAGTGGAGGTGACACTGAAAGTGGGGAAGTAGTAAACGATGTTCAATCAGACAGTGAATCAGCTGAATTATAATCACGTTTCTCGATAAATAGAAATGCAAATCATTCCTTTGTTGTTGTTTCTCAAAGTGTGAGGGTTTGCTGCGTTCTTTGTCCTACGTGGCCTCATGATGTTTGGGGTGTTGGAGCGCTGGTTTTGACATCATCATCATCCAGTGAGATTTTGGTTGTTGTTGTTGTTGTTGTTGTTGGTGGTGGTCAGAGGGTGTAACCTTGTTAACTCTGAGGTTATCTCTGTGCGGCTGCTTTCACCATGTGGTTTAAACATGTCACCGTCCTCCTGACCACCCCTGGGTGAGGACCGTCTTTACACTTCTATCAAGGTGACATTTCACAACCAGCATCATCATGGGATAAAGGGTCGTTCTGTTATTAATAAGGTCTAATTTAAGAATAATTTAACCACCTGTTACGCTTCTGGGCCAGATCGAAGTACGTCACATTGAAGTTGTCATTTTACTCACTGATTGACTTTGTTACTGTAAGTGTCTGACAACATCACAGGAAGGATCCAAACAGAGAGGAGACTTTATTTAAAGGAGAAAGACAACAGTTACATCTCTCTCTCTTCAAAACCACCAGACTCCATTGACAAATAACGCTATTTTACCCGCAGAACTTAAATGTTTGTATTTTGTTTTATTGTGCGTCACACAGATATTGCCTGAGGGTTTAGCTCATCCATACAAAAAAAATACTTAAAATCTCTGGCGGTGTTGCAGAACACCTGAAATTGGTTTTGCAAAGTTAAAGGAAGAATGTGCGACTTTTTGACCCAGTAGATGTCGCCCTTGAGCACCAGCATGAAACCAAAACAAACTGCTGTTTGGTGACACCTCCGCTATTCTTTAGCCTCCGCTCTCCACCAGAGACACACCTCCAACCCTCTCCACTCACGTTTGCACGAAGGAGTTATCAATTAGAACGCGCCGTAATCGTCCTTTGCTTGAGCTGTAATCACCTGTGTCCTCGTAGCTTCACATTTCATGTAAACTGCCACAGAATGAGCGTGATCTAAAAACTCTTACTAACATTCAAATAATCAGTGAGTATGTTCTTCTTCTTCTCTCTAGTTCTTGACTAAAACAGCTTTTATACACAAGAGGAGCCGGCCGTCCCGTCCATGTAAACACAGCTCTAACAACAAAACAGCCAGCAGGACTCGAGCTTCTCCCTCATTGTAGACAGTCATGACTCAGAGACACATTTACACAGGAGAGACTGATTTATGATTTATTTATGTGTAAAATGTTGCACATTCTTGGTAGCTTTGACAAGAGACGTGTAGCTGTTGTTTCCTGTTTTAATGAAAAGGATGATCCCCTTTAAAAAGGTCTTATCTCTGCAGTGGTCCTTCCTATCATGTCAGACTTTTAAAAAGCCCTCGTGACAAAAACAAGCTCTTCAAGTTGACATGTTTGATGGTGCACGTTTTGTTTCAAGATGAATGTTGCAGACATTCTCTCTGCCCACAGAAGCAACATTTAAACCCCAATATGTGCATGAAGGAGAAGGCTTAAAAATACCAGACATCCCCTTTAACAGGGGCTACAATGCAGCGTTGCACTTTTGCCTTTTCTTTGCACAGATCTATCCATCAACTGAAGGTCGGGCCGTTTGGAGACTCTTTCAGCAGACTGTCTTGACACTTCATTTTGTTCCCTGTGATATGAGAGCCGTGTATTTTGTTCTGCTACCTTTTGTCCCATCTGAGGCTAAATTCAAGTAACAGGAAGCGCCTTTTCTGTAATAAATCATCACCTCAGCTGAGCGTGTTTCAGTGTCTGCATCATCTCTGCACCGTGCTGCAGACTTTCTGATCCCCCTCCCCCTGTGTGGTGATGCACCGCAGGACTGCAATAAAGCTTTTTGCACATTCATGTAAGCCTTTGAGTTGTGCCTCGCATCATCACTTTATGTCATCGCTCGCAGGTTTCAACGGGTCGTTTTTTATCCTTTCTTCTTTTTGACCAGCTGACAGTAGAAGCTGGATGGTGTGTGTTGTATGTGTGTGCGTGAGATTTCTGAGTTACGAGTTAGTTGTTACATAAAAAGCTGGCCTGTGTATGAATCGACCGACACTACTGCATCCTTTCACAGAACACACACTGGAAAACACTGGACGACCCACACACACACACACACACACGACTCAGTGACTCTGAATCTGAAGGTGTTTTCTGATTTTCTGTATCTCTGTACTTTTCTTGGTTTCTGTTTGTTCTTTGCGTCGTCTGTTTTGTGTTCCCTGAAGAGACCCGTTAACTGTAGAGGACTGATAGACCAACATGGAGACCGCAGAGGGGGGTCACCATGCAGCTGTATGTCACTTGAAATGTATATAAACGACGGTTTTATTAAAATAAAGACATGTACATATTCAACAGAGGAGCAGCCCTGTGTGTCTTTGTTCGCGTTTCATCCTCTCTAGAGTGGATGCTCACACAGGTCACCATGTGGTGGACTCTGAAGCTTCAGTGTTTATCCAGTTCTGCATCGGTCTGTAAACCTTTCTGTGTTCTAACCTCTCTCCATTTTTCAAAAGGATCTCCAATATTGATCCTAGTTTGAGCACGTTTCTGCTCGTGGAGCTTATTAGAAACATGCAGAGGCTTTTTAGGTCGGGTACAATCACTTCTATCTGAACCACTTCTCTTGACCGCTTCCATCACTGCAACACCTGTTGACCTGATAACTGCTCTCATATCTGACAAACTGAGGGGCGTCCTAAACGGCCGTGTGGGGGTGCCTTAAAACCACCTACCTTCTCTGGTCCAAACAAATCCAGATCATTCAGGAGCAGAATCTAAAGTTAGAAGGAGGACATACTGACTGCTGCATTGTTGTCAGAGAAGCCAGCACTTCAACATGTTTCCTTAATGTCTGATCAGATAGTAAGATCACTTTATCATTTCATTCAGGAGATATGGTACAGATTGCTCCTTTAATTATTGAACACTTGAGGTACTTTCCATCCAAGTTGGCATAACATATTTCTAATCTTGAACTACAGGACAGAGTCGTAGTTACAGAGGTTGCTTTCGCTCTCCTACACCTCCGAGCTTTGAGCTACAGATCTGAATTAACCACAGCTGAATTTCCTCCATTTACCACCCGACCTTTTCAATAGACCGAGTGGAAAGTTTGTGTCACAGGCGACTTAAAAAAAAAACACCGCCCCTCCCCCTCACCCCTCTACACCAGTGAGTGACACCTTTTTTAAAGTCAAAAACCACAGCACCTTTTGTTTAGAAGCCCTCTGTTGCAGGCGAAGAGAGCAGCCGATTAACTCGTCTTCATCATCTCCAGACACAAGAAGATCTTCATCATGAGGAGCGCTCACATCCTCCTGCTGTGCATGCTGGGAGCTGCTCTGTTCTCCTCCGTCCTCAGCAGCAGTAAGAAAACTAAAATAATTCAAATCTACTCTCTTTGAGACGATCTGAAAGTCTATAACTGTGTGGTCTTTTCTTTTTCAGGTGCAATCGGCCCCGACGACTGCTGCTTCAAATTCTACCCGAGGAGGTTGAACAAAAACAAGGTCCGCTCGTATTACATGACCGATGAACGCTGCCCGAAGACCGGAGTCATGTGAGTGTTTGATCCCGGTTTGACGATTTTATTGAACTTGGATTCTTAATTTTGAATTTGACTAAATCTGATGCCCTCTTTGTTTTGATTTTAATTTCTTTATACATCTTTATTGTTTTGTCCTTTTGTCACCAAGTTAGTTTAAATTTTCAATTTTTTCTCATGCATTGTATTTAATTTAGAACTGTCAAAATTAATTTACTTGTGATTAATCGCATATTTTCGATAGTTGTAATTGCATGTGTGACGTTTGAATATTTTGCATTTAAAGACAGTTTGTGTTCGGCTTTCATTTTGAATGTTTGTAAGGTGTTGAGGTGAGGGTACCTTACTTCCTGAATACAAACCTACATTTATTTGGGAAGAAATAAGATCAATAAAGGAACTCGGCTCTACAGCCCAGTTTTTATACTTTCCCTTAAAGCCGAATGAATCAGATTTGATCCAAAGTGAGAACTTTTTTTTTCTTAAACGACCTGATTCATGCAGGACACAGATAATGAACCTGCTCCCAGGACAGCTGAAGGGAGACAGGAAAGTATTTTTAACTCGGCATTTTGACAAAAATGAACACCTGATGTGTCAGGCATGAAACAAAACAAACTTCTTTATTCTAAATAGTTTTTTTAAGGGGGTCCACTCACGACTTTAGAGAGTTTACAATCTGTGGCAGTCATTGTCATTTAAAAATAAAAAGATAATGAATCTAAAATCAGTTTCACCTCTTTTTCCTTCCAGCCTGGTCACGCAGAAGTCTGTTAGCATCTGTGTGGATCCAAACCTCACCTGGGTCGAGAGCATCTTGAGGAGTGTGGATGAGTCTCGCTTTTAAACCAACTTCCTGCCAGTCCATGCACTATAACAGCATGCCCATATATGGTCGTTATGTTTGTATTGATGTGAAAATCTTCTCAAAGCGAGAAGAACCTATTAAACCATGAACATGCTTACAAACAGACTTACTATCCTTTGTCTTTATCATAACTTTAAAATGTTTTTTAACTCAGCTTTTTAAACATCTTAATAAAAAAATCACTCTTCATTTGTCTGTTTGTTCTTTCATGGGAGATTTTCACATTGTAAGGCTGGTTGCTTTCTAAACCGGCTGTTAGTCGTAGGACGCACTGATTCGGCTCAAATGGAGTACGCAGGATGCGAACCAGTCATCAGCAGAGATCGGCAGTCTGCTAAAAATACCGGTCTGCAAGTATTCCTCTTGTTTCCCACAATGCTAAGCGCCAGGTGAGAGATTGATATGAAAAAAAAAATGTATATAAAGAAATCATGAAAATGTATCACTTGCAATTTTGAAGCCAATGTAGAAGTGTAAAATCCTGCAATTCATCGAATGTCCACTACAGCCTGGTACAAAAAACAATATGTCTGATTAGTTATTGTCATCACTGGCACACTCTGCACACTCTGGGATGATTTTTTTTTAAACGGCTCTGTTTTAGTTTCATGAACGATACGTGTTATCCATAGTTAGGCGCGTAGCTGACCTGATTGACAGGTGGGCGTGATGTAACGGTTTGTCAGGAGTCTTAAAACCCGCTTCAGCTCCGGCTCTCAGCCTGTCGTTAGGTTGACTAAAAGTTAGAGTGAGACAAGATTTCCAACATGGCGGCTGCTGCTGATGAGCCTCTGGCGCCCCCTGCAGGAACAGAGGGCTGACGTCACTCAGGCTTCAAACATGAATATTTACTGTCTATATTTTGTGCACGGCAATGTACCAGGACCAACCTGAGCTTCTCTCCGTTGAGCTGGAGAGTCGCTACACATATTCTAAAGAACTCTTTGTCAGGTAATGACAGACTTCTCCTGGGTTTTCATGATGATCTGAAACTTGATGATCAGAAAAGTAGTTTCACTTCAATCAGAATCAGAATCAGCTTTATTGGCCAGGTATGCTTAAACACACAAGGAATTTTACTTTGGTAAACTGTGCTCTCTTTGTACAAAGGTACAATATTAAATATCAACAATAAACACAAAAATAAACAAATAAGCAAAGACTAATAGGTACAATAATATAAAATAATAGTGCAGTGGTGAGTAATGCAAAGATGCTGAAGTAAACATGAGGTAGTTTTGACAGTATTTACATTAAAAAGTGCGTATATGGTCATTTAAATTAAATAATATATGTATATTCTGCTAAGAGAATTGTAACTTTGTATATGTTTAGTCACAGTGACAGTTTTGTTCACAGCGACAAACAGTTTTAACCAAACTGTTTTGGGTTGTGCAATGTAGTTACACATTTAATTAGTTTCTAAATGATTTGGCAGCATTGAGCCAGAAAACTAGATCTAAATGTGCCACAGGTTACAGGGCCTGCATGAAGCCCCTCAACGGGCCCCTCATCAACCCGCGCAGGGCCTCCAAAGAAATTGACTGGCCGATGTTCTGACGTCACCGACAGTCATCACGTTGTTTCCAAGGCTGAGTTATCTGTCCCAAATACTAAGCAACACAAGCAAATGACTTATCTGTGTTCTTCTACAACCAAATGCATTTAATATCAGATCGGGTTTTCTTAAAATTCAAAGTTCATCTGAACTAAATATTTATCATCTTAAAGTATCTCTGGACACTTTGTGGTTTTAAAGGTTAGTCAAACATCTCCTAAGACACACCCAGTGGTGAACCTCTTTCCCTTTGAGATGTTTTTTGATGATATGTAGAATCTGCCGTTTATTAAACCTCCGCTCAGGAGGAAAGACGCAGTCCGCCCTGCCCCAGCGTGCAGATAGAAACATGCATTGGATGGTGCAGGTCACTGTGGTGCTCGTGAACATCGCATGGATCCTTTTCTTCTTCACAACAGATCCTTTCTCAGGTAGGAGAAACCTGCACACATCAATATGAGACAGCTGTGTGTTTACAGAGAGAAGTGAAGGTGGCGTTTGTCTCTTTGCAGCGACAGTACGGAGGAGAGGTGCTGACGAGGAGGAGGGGGTGATTGGAGAGTTTTGTATTCATCTTCCACAAGATAACATCACATCTGAGGGTAAGTCCATGTGTCTGCTCTAAGGAGATGAACAAACACATGCCGTGTATTTTACATTTAGCTGATTATTGCTTTGAATTTCTTATCCACTAGAAACCACGACTATCAACATGCCGATGTCAGAACCAGAAGCTGAAACTCACATCATGTAAGTAAATGTGAATCATTGTAACTAGTTGATCTGTTATCTCATTTTCACTCTCCGTCACAGCTATTCCTCCATTGTTCAATGTTTCTCCTGCGGTTGCGCTTCATGCTTTGTACATGAAACATACTTGAAACAAGCATGTTTTTAAAATCCTAAAAATGAACTGCACCCTCCCGCCGCTGACAACTGAAGTCCTGTTCTTCCTCTGTTGTTAGGGACGATAACGGGACAACCAGTCCTCCACCTGACCTGGACCTGACCTCCACTGAGGTCGTTTCTTCTGAAAGCTCCGCCCCCTTTTCCTCTGTGGAAAGAAAACTCCAACCTGTATCTCCCAGTGAGTGCATCGCTGAGAATGCCATCACCAAAACTTTTGTTGACTTAAGTATGAAATTCACTTTATAACAATATATATATATATTTTTTAAGCAACATCATCGCACTGCTGCCCAGAAGACTCCCCCAGACTTCCTGATGACTTTGAACCTGGTACGCGCTTCGAAAATCAGGCTCCACCTGAGTGTCCTGCTGAAGCTATGGTGTGAGTATAAGACAAAAGGTTTCAGCATCACTTAAGACGCTTTAAACATCTGATTTATAAATCTATGAAATCTATGAAAACAACATGACAAATCAGGGATTACACATTTCAACGTTTGTTTATACGGAGCGCAGATTGTAAAGTTGTTCACACTAAAAATAACAAAATTACTTCCTTCACATTCAGCTCGAAAACGTTTTGTGAATTCTAAGTATTTTTTTATCACATTGAGAGCAACATTTGTGAACTTTGTCATATTTATTTTTTAAGAAAATTTCATTGGTAAATCAAATTGTTAAATCTGAATATAAAATCTAACTGTTAATTTTAAAGGGGACATATTAGGAAAAATCCACTTCTACAGTGTTTTTGAACATATATTTGGGTAACCTGAGTGTCTACTGACCTACAAAATGTGAAATAAACCCATCCAGTCCTTTGTTTGTGGTCTGCATAAGTCTTGCAATACAGAGAAAAATGCTCTGTTTCAAATGTGCTCTCCTTGTGATAAAGAAAAAAACCTCTGGTATCTCTACCCATGGACTCCACCCCCAGCCTAGAACAAAACTTTTGCGCAGGTCCGCCAATTTTATTCTCGCTAGCGAAGGAGTGATGTCTACCAGGGGGGGGGGGGTTCATTGCATTTAAAGAGACACACACACCAAAATGCTTGATTCATGTTAAATTTTGACCAAAGCACAGCACAGATGTTTCAGTCAGACGACAGACGACTGTTTGAAAAGGTGGAGAAGGGGGATAATATGTCCTCTTTAAAGGTTATATCTAATTGTTAAAAATTCATGAAACAAATATTTCTAAATATTTAGCTGTAATTCTTAATATTATTGATCAAAGCAAAATATTTGAAATTGCAATATGTATTTTTTAACATTTAGATTTGATTTAACATTTAACATTTAGATTTGATTTAACATTTAACATTTTAATTTGCCAATGAAATAATCTTTAATTTATTTTCACACAAAAAATAAATGAAGTTCACAAATACTGCCCTGGATGTAATTAAAAAAAATACTTTTAAAAATTCAGAATCATTTTCAGAAACTTTTTCCAGCTTAAAGTGGAGAAATTAAATCTGTTATTTTTAGTGTGAGCAACTTTACAATCTCTTCCTCATATACATGTATGTGTGTCTCCTTATGTCACACTGTGATAGTAAAACATCTTCTTTTCTTTCTACAGAGTAATAACACTGTCAGGTCAACGATTCTGCTACAATCCAAATGCTCTGTGAAGTTACCTCGGTGGATGAAAGACATCCTCTCTCTCCCCGCTGTGAAGCAGAAACATGGAGCTGAATGACAACACGATCGATCGTTTCCATGTTAAACGTGACAGAGACATTTAAAAGTTTGGTTCTTCTCTGCTTTATGTTGTTAGCAGGCACGATGAGTGTTTGTTTTGTGTTCGTTGTACAAAAGTGAAGCCAAAATTAAAATTGTAGTACTCGAAATCGGTCTTGGTCTCAATTTTGATTTTTTTTCCCTTGCTTACGACCGCCATCTTCCCGGTGTTGAGGTCTAAGTGAGTGACACGCCCGCTGCACGCAAGATGATGATTTCTCATTGATATTTATGGTCTTGTCTCAGTCTCGCCCTGCCTCAGTCTTGGTCTCCATTCGACCTGGATCCCTTCATGTGTCTGTCTTGTCTCGGTCTCGTCCTGCCTTGGTCTTGGTCTCAACTGGACCTTGATCTCTAAATGTCTCTGCCTTGTCTCAGTCTCGCCCTGCCTTGGTCTTGGTCTTGACTGGACCTTTATCTCTCAATGTATTGGTCTTGTTTCGGTCTCGCCCTGCCTCAGTCTTGGTCTCCATTCGACCTGGATCCCTTCATGTGTCGGTCTTGTCTCGGTCTCGTCCTCCTGCCTTGGTCTTGGTCTCGACTCGGCCTCCAACCATAAATGTGTCCTGGTACAAGCAAGCTGCAACCTCCGATGTTGAAAAATGAAGCCGATGTGAAGAGTCGTGTGTGCGTGAGATCAAATCAAACTTTCTGGAGAAGATTAACTCTTAGTTTTGTAGATACACAGAAGTATCTTTAGGTCTTTTCAGAGTGGTTATATACTGCAACACACATGTATCCCTCACAGTCAGTACATCAGTAGTTGTTAACACATTCATTGAACCATGCATTGGACTGCCAAGATCACCGTCGCTCTCCTGAATGTGGCGTGGATTTTCTTCTTTTTGCAAGCAGATCCTTTCTCAGGTAAGAAGAGTCATGAAAACTTGTGCTTTTTTTAACCTGTTGATGCAGACTGCACCAGAAGATTATGATTGTGCTCTTACTTACAAACTTGCCGTCATCTAGCCCCGAGAGGGACATAAAGGGAATAATTTAGGTTGATTCAGAGAAATTCTTGATAGTTCCCGAGATCAAAGACACATTTGTGAGATCCTGAGTAACTTTTGCTCGATCCTAAAAAGGTTTTTGCAGGATAAATTGCTCCTTCAAGTCACGGGCGCTCAGAAAAGCATTGTTTCTTGGGAGCTCAGAAACAGTTTCTCTGTTCCTAATCCTAATCTTAATTTCCTTCCACGTCTCTTTTGAGGCTCCATAGCTTGTGTCACTTTGCTAACTTCACATAAACATGTTTAAGATAACGCAGAGAGTACTGATGAAGTTGTGTTAATTTCTCCGATCTGTTCATGAAGCTGTGATGGTGATTTCAGTGTTTGTGGAGAGAAGGAGCTCGGCTGAAGAGATGCTGTTTGGAGAGTTTTGTCTTCACCTGCAGTCCGATACGAACCCGACATCAACTCCACATTCAGCCATCGACACCTCGGATAAAACCAATGACACAAACACAACAGCTGAAGGTAAGCCATATCTGTATTTATCGGTTATATCTGTGTACTTTCTCTTGGGTTGTGTGATGAAGAAGGCATAAACATTCACTTTTTCACACCGTATTTCAAAGGTTGAACAACACATTCGATAACCCTTTCATACTGTATGTGTTTTTGTTTTTTTATTGTAAAAGTTGACTGAAAGTTACTTCAAAATCATGTATTCATCCTGCACAGCTGGATAGTGTATTGCAGAGAAAGTAGTGAGTATTATTCAAATAATAAATGCATTCATGGAAGGCAGAGTTTTTTCTGTTATGACGAGGCGGAGGCTACAAAATTAAACACTTCAGACACCCCTCTATAGCATCATAAGATAAGATACTTCTTTATTTATCCCACAACGGATACATTTACATTGTCACAGCAGCAAAGAGCAAGGATTGCCAGAATAAGAAATGTAAAAAATATAAAAAATAAAACAAGATAAAATATATATGAAAAATATACATCAGCTAACACGTGTCCTAACAGCACGCGGCGCGCTGTTTTCACTCCGATGCTCGCCGCTCATCCGTTTGTTCACCTTCAGTACAAAAGCACTAGATGTTATTCCCTTTGCAAGGGGGGATACTAACATTTACAGAGCATAGAATTCAATATTTAACGCATGCAGTTTGGACAGAACGAGACATATAACGCTCACGTGTTCTTAGGACACGGTGTAAGAGCTGCCGTTTTAACAAAATGTAATTTAATCCATTTTAAAAGTTACCAACTCAACTTCTTCCTTAGCCTGACCCAACTGGGACACATTTGAAACTTAAACTGAATTTTATTATTGCTTTATGTTCAGAATCTCATGTCTTGCAGAACGATCTTAGCCAGATTGTTTTGAAAAGTGCTAAATTGAGTCCAAGGAGTCCACAATGACACTGCAAATTGACACTTGAGAGAGGTACAGAGATGGACATTAAACTGCTGTATTTCTTGAGCTGGGGGTACAACCGTGTTTACTGAGATTGGATGAACAGGTAGTTTGCTCGTTGTCAAGCACTCTGGTCCACTTGCTTACGTCCATTTTTTCACAGCAGCCACGAAGAGCAACTCGACATTACATCGAAGTGCTTCCGAGAAGACCAGAAATCCACAAAACTGTCATTGCAACAACACAAAAATTTTACAAAATGATTCAGAGTTTGTGAGTGTAGACGTCAGACCTCTTGCACCAGGATGTGAGCCCAAGATAATGTAAGTCAGTTAATATTATTTGTTCTCTGAATTAGTAGCTCTGTTATTCTGTTTGAAACAGTGTGTGACAATGCTTATAGCCAGAGGCGTGTCCAGAGGGGGGCGGCCTGGGTCGGCATGAGCCCCCCTTCAAATCTGATTGGCCACTATCGGCCACATCAAAAATCCTTCAATTAAAAACGATTATTCAGGGGCGTAGGTTATTTGTATTAATGTATTTATTTTGTGTGTGTGTATGGTAACATTAATCTTTTTTTGTTCTTGTGTTTCCGTTCGTCTGTGTTGGAAAAGCAAGACATATACCAACATGGAGGTCTGCATGGATCTAGAAGCTTTAATTGGTCTGCTCGCTCCGTAAGTTCTGGAGTTTTTTGGGTGTTAAAAAAAAGCCCTGTACTGCAAAGATGTCACATATTTCTTTGCTTCCATATAGAGACTTGGATGAGACGACTCCAGCCACTCCTGATACTCTGGGAGCAACTTCCTCAGAAGTCACCACAGACTCTGGGATGACTGAAAGCAGCACCTCAGCAGCTTCTCTTTTTACAAACACCCATCGTTCAACTGCTCCTGTCCCTCCGCAGGACAATCAGAACAGACCAGAAGAGAGAGCTAGACCGCCTGGTGAGTCGTTGTCAACATCAATTTTATTTCTTCACCTCTAAAAGCTACTTCCGTGTACTCTGCTTCAAGTTTTTGGCTTCAGCATTAGCTGTTTGATGTTTGTTTAACCTTCACTTATATTAATAACAGTAATAACTAATTTTATCTAGTGGTCAAGTGCTGCTTCAGAACTTCATTATCGCAGATTCCTGTCTCAAGGATTAAGCATGTATTGGTACAGAAGCCTCCTCAGTGCCCCATACATGCAATCATGTAAGTAGAGTTTGTAATTCATTAAAAAGAAAATGTGCTTTAGTGAAGCTTACATTGCACAACGTCCTGAAACACACACATGTAACTGTTACTAACAGAGATCTTTTGATATTTTCTCTCCAGAATAGTAACTAAAGAGGGCAGGGAAATCTGTATGGATCCAGAGAGTGTGTGGATTAAAAAGTTATTGAAAGCCTTCAAAAAGATGACAACTGTTGAAGTAGAGCCGTTGTTGGCCTAGCGGTCAGGTCCTGTCCCATGTACGGAATGTTCCAATTCTCCATCCATTCATTCAACCTTCATCTATTCTCAACAGATCATCACATATTGTTTGTGTGTTTTATATTCTGTTTTTTTTTTTTTTATTAACCCTTGGGTATCAATCTGGACATTTTTCTCCAAAAAGGTGAATTGTAAAACAGTTTTTTGTTGTTTATTTTAGCGTACACCTCATCAAGTAAAACACCTTTTCTGATTGGACAAAGTGAAAATGTTGTTGTTGTGAGGGCTTGTGTTAGTGCTTCATACGTGTTCTCTCACTCTTCCTCCTCTACTCCTCTAATCCACACAGCAACAGCCACATTAGTCGACACAAGTTGTCAATCATGGCGTTTAACTTCTAAAAAAATCAGAATCAGAATCAGAATCGGGGTTTATTGCCAAGTACATTTACACATACAAAGAATTTGACTTGGTGTATTGGTGCTAAACAATTAACAAGGAACTAAAGTAGAACTAGCAACAACTTAAATAATACAGAATAAGAAGCTATAACAATATATAAAATAGAATTAAAAAAATATAAAATATAAAACTAAAAACACACAAAATGTACAAAAGGTGTAATGTAGGAGCTGTGCAGTGGACTTTGAGAATTAGAAAGAATTACAGCCCACATGAAAGTGTGCATAAAATGAGCGAGAATGAGCGATCCCTTCATATTGCAACACAGCCGAAAGCAAAATCTTCACTTGCCGGACTTCCTTCCTCCTCTGCATCTGAATGATCAGATAACAAGCCTCATGTGATGTTAAAGACGCACAACAGTAAACTCAGTCCACCTCGCCTGGGGTCACCATGAACACCTTCTTCATCAGTCAACTGCTTTTGACGACTCTTCTTCTCCGAACAACTGCAGAAGGTAAGTCCAGTGGCTTATTTAAATCATTTCTTTACAGTGTTTCTTGTATAAAACAGTAACTACACACTAGTGTAGGGTTAATGTATAAAATATCGATATTTGGCACCAGCGATTCAATCATTTATCACACAAGTCAGGGCGAGGATTTCAGGCTTTATCGATATTTCGTCCCACACCTAATTAACATGCCCTTTTGGAATTTAAGAGAATTTCTGAGCTTCAAAACGTATGTAAATAATAATAATAACTCTATTGAGATAGCACCTTTCAAGATCAGAGTCACAAAGTGCTTTACAAATGGAGGAGAAACAAATAGAGAAAGCAAACAACAAAAACCTCAACAATATACAAACATATTAATCAAAAGCAAGTCTAAAGAAATGGGTCTTAAGTTGCTTTTTAAACAGTCCACCTCGGTCTTCAGTCTGGTGTGAGGGACTACCAGCAAACCCTGATCAGAAGACCTAAGAGATCTGCAGGGAGTATACGGCCGTAATAGTTCTGTGAGGTAGGCCGGTGCCTGTCCATGCAGGTTGTTTAAAGTAATAACAAGAATCTTGATTTGTATTCTAAAATTGATGGGAAGCCAGTGTAGAGAAAACAGAATTGGGGCGATGTGTGACCTTTTGGATGACCTGGTAATTAATCTGGCTGCGGAATTTTGAACTAGAAGAGATGTTTTGTTAAGGAAGGTAAAAAGTGAGTTACAGTAATTCAAACAGGAAGAAATGAAGGCGTGAAGAATCATCTCCATTTGAGCTGTGGGAACAATGGGCTTAAGTTTGGCAATATTTCTTAGCTGATAAAAACAAGAGCGAACAAGACAATTTATATGCTGGTCAAGAACTCATCACCTTTGCCCTGTGTTCTGTCATCGTTTAAATGACCTTGTTCTCTCCAGATGCAGAGTTGACATCACCCACAGCACGTGACCCTGACGGCTCTGTGCATTACGATGAGTTCTGCCTGCGTATTTCTGATAACTCCCACTGGACCAGCTCCAGACCAGTTATCCAGCGATCTTCAGAGTCCGCCAGTCAGGAACCCAAACCATCCAAGGAGCCAAACGGAGAATCAACGCAACTTCCCAATCAGCCGTCTACAGATTCAACCACTCCATACAGTCAGTCACCTCAACCATCCACACAGCCAACACCTGCATACCTGGAATCCACGACACAGCCTGAACAAACAACCCAAAAACTCCAGAGACCTGTCTTACCCAGAGGTCAACAGGGTCCTGAATTTGCTATTGGGTATCGTACTGGTGAGGCTTGTCCATCTATTTAAAATGTTATTTGAACCTGCAGCCCCATAACGCAAATATGTGAGGCCCCTCCGCAGCTAAACTTGAGTGGGCCTTTTTTTTTTTTAAAGAGGACATATTCTCACAATCTCCACCTTTTCAAACAGTCCCCTGTGGTCTAAATGAAACATCTGTGCTGTGCTTTGGTCAAAATATAACATGAATCAAGCACCAGAGGAGGTTTGTGACCCTGTATAAACCAGCTCTCTCAGAACGCTCCGTTTTGGTGTGTGTCTCTCTTTAAATGCAATGACCCCCCCCCCGAGTTTTCCCCGTAGACATCACTCCTTCGCAAGCAAGAATAAAAATGGCGGACCTGCGCAAAAGTTTTGTTCTAGACTGGGGGTGGAGTCCATGGGTGGAGATACCATGGGAGGGGCGGGGATTTATTTACCAGAATCCCACTGTGATGTCACAAGAAGAGCACATTAGCAACAGAGCATTTTTCTCTGTGTTGTAAGACTTATGCAGACCACAAACAAAGGACTGGATGGGTTTATTTCACATTTTGTGGGTCAGTAGACACTCAGGTTACCCAAATATATGTTCAGAAACACTGTAGAAGGGGATTTTTCATAATATGTCACCTTTAATTCATGGAATGAATGAAAAGTCTGATAATGAAATCCTGAACAGTTAACTGTTTATCGTACCATCACTGTCAGTAAAGTTACACTGTGTCCGCTGTCCACACCACCTCAGTCAGATATTTAGACCTCTGCTCTGTGAATTTCAGTTTGACATCTAAACCAGCCTTTCCAAATTTTAAGACTGTTGCGGCCCACTTTGAAATACAAAATTATTCCGTTATAAAATAAATGTTATGACTACAGCTATCACTTTCAGTAAGGGTAAAATATTGGACATGACAACATGATATTATGGCAAGATAGACACGAAAGTTTACTAAACAGATAGTAAAATATTATATGATATTATGTCCATGAATAGTCATGACAGGCCTTACTAATCACTTAAAGGGTTGGCTCATGGTAAATCATCATTATTTATTGTTATAATATTATTATTATTATTTATTTTATACTTGGTGGAGGGCTTTTTGGGGTCCACCTGCAGTACCCAAACAACCAGGGGGCTGCAGCCCACACTTTGGGAAGCACTGAGCTAGTGCTTTTGTATTGACGAGCTGTTGACTCAAATCACTCAAAGCCCCGTCATAAACGGCTGGCAGTGAGCCGAAAAAAAGTTTTTTCTCCCGTGTTGACCCAGATCAGAACTCAACATTTCAATCACGGTGTGGATATGATTTATGCAGCGTTGTCTCCACTTTGTAAAACAAGCTAAGAAGCTCTGGATTCTCCTGTTATTGACAGGAAAGGCCATTTTCCCCTGGCATTCAAACCGGAAACAACATGGCGGCTTTCCCAGCTCATCAAATACAATGCTTACCACACACCTGTTTGTCCACCTTCACTAAAAAAAAAGCACCAGATGTCATAATGTTTGGAAGGAGAAACTGAAATACACAGAGCAAAGAATTCAATATTTAACGTGTGCGTTGTGGACGGCCAGCGTGTGATCGTGCACGATGAGACGTGACATACAACTCTTGTGTTCTTTGACCTCCATTTTGTGATGTCAACACTTGTTTTTCAGCTCTTTTTCTGTTATGATCTACTAGTCAGTCTCTACTTATTGTTACACTTTTTAACAGTGAATATCTATGTTGTGTTTTTAGTCACTGGTGGTGGTGGATGTCTCTGTGGGAAGTTTGTTGATGATCATGTTGACGTCTCCCGGTTTACAACCATGGTTTTTCAGAACCCAACACCAACATGCGGGCAACGTGAATACTTGTAAGTTTCTGTCATTCCAGTGAAATATAAACAGACGTTTTTACATCATTGATATTGGCAAATACATTTATAGTTCTTGTGTTTCTACACCAAGGCACCATGGTAGTGAAAGGCTAACAGTCCTATCCATAATGCACTGTGGGACTGGCTATGGTGGATGGTCTAATCAAAAAATGCTTCCTGCATTAGGATGAAAAGGAGTCGGTGAATGTTCTTACTACAAGCAAAGAGTCAGGGTCAAAAAAAAAGAAGAGAACTGAGATCCACCTTTTCAAGCAGAATTCTACCGATCGCTCCAGAGTGCATCAACTTCAGACGAAAAAAACTGACTCGCTGTGCAAAGGGCCTAACTCTCAGAACAGTCCCGCAGAGAGAGATGTTTTGGACAATTGGTTTTTAAACTAATTTGTGGATTAAAAAAGAAACCATATTGCACAATTCAGATCACTTACTGTTGCCTTTTTTTCAGTCGGATAAGGATGGATGGTCAACGGGTTTGTGCTTCTCGATCATTTGCAAGGAGGTTCTTTCGTTATGGACTGTAAGTACGATGACAAATGTATATAAACTTTTAAAAACAGTGTCTCAATTGAACCTTTCTGTGTTTAATGTTCTTGTGCTCAACTTGATTAGCAAATCGTTTTTTATCGTTATGAATGTTTTTGAGTGGAATATTTCTGTTTCATTGTGGCTCTTTTAATTGCTGGACACGGGACATCAGATGGGTCCGAGAGTTGAACCTCTGCTCGCTGGTTTTTAGATGCTCGGTTTATTTTATGGCGCCATTTACTCTATCAGGGCTGGGAATTACATCACACCCGAGTTGAACATGTTCCAGTTGCGAGTTGTCCACAAGTCGGACAAGCAACATGAACGAATCAAGGAGTACCTTTGTTTTGTTAGCTTATACCAGGTGATAACAACACACTACGTGATAGCTTGTGCGCGGAAATAACATGACACGTCCACAGATTGAACTTGCACGATACTATCGGTGTGATTGATTTAATTACACAAAAGGAGGACTAAGTTGCTGATAAACACTGGACTGTACAGCTTAACTGTTACTGTTGATGCACGTAGCAGCCATGTTGGATTTTAACTTGGGCAACTTAAGGTTCTTCGAATTTCCAATTTGCAATTCCGAGTAATTTCTGACTTCCGAGATCCACTGAAAGAAGACAGGCGGCTCATTAAAGGTCTCGTATTATGTAAAATGCACTTCACCATGTTCCTCTAACACTAATATGTGTCTCTAGTCTGTCTACAAAGCCCCCAATTATGAGAAAAGTCCATCCTCTCCGTCTTTTGCTTGCTCCACTTTTCAGAAAAGGAGTGCTCAAACAGGCTGTTTGGAGAGTTCCCCTTTGTGACATCACAAAGGGCAGTAGCCCCTCCCCAGGTGGGTGACACTCCCACAGCTAGGTGTTTGTTCTGCCCTCTGAGTCTGCCTTCTCACCGTGAACAATAGCACATGAAGCGAGAAAGCCCGAGTCACCCAAGCCCTTCCAGAGAGGGGGCGTGGTCAGACACAGCTCATTTACATATTTAAAGGTACAGACACAGAAACAGCCTGTTCTGAGCAGGGCTGAAATAGAGGGGTTTATAGACATGATCAAATACAGGATCAGAGTGGATTTAGAATAAGAAACTTCACACACATGTTTTGAGGAGCTCCGAGACTTATTTACACTGGTTGAAGAGGAGGAGGATATTTGACCTTTAAATAAATAAATAAATATTAAATATTAAAAAACAGTTTTTTTATGGTTTCAGTGCCTGTTGACTGAACTAATGCGTGCCGTTTTTTCTTTAATTTTCAAGTTTAACAGTATAACCGGGTTATTAAAGAACAGGCATTTAGAGAAGCAATGATTCAGTTAGTAATTTGTCTTTCGTTGGTCTTGATTCGTGTTTCCTGCTGTCACATGTGTTGTGCATCATATTACAAGACGTGTCTTTGCTAGGTCTCTTTCTTTATTGCACCATCCTAAAAAGTTTAAATTGGGCTTGGTATTATATGTAATCTCAAGTGATAGTAATGCAGCAGGAGACTTGAGATATTCTCGCCTCATTAAACACAATTTTAAGTCCACATTAAACTCTAACCATCTTCCTCATAAAGACCATCAACATACTAATTGAAGCCTCTAAATCATGATGATGTGTTTTTTGCCAACCAATTACAATCTGATAAGAGTATTTCAGCACTGATAAGCAGATGTGTTAATCACCTATTCCTGTAAGGTAACTTGTTGATAAGTAACACATTTGTCATCACATCCACAGGCGCAGATCTGAAACAACGACTGAGGCAAGAGGCTACAAAGAGCCTTTGGCCAGATCCTCTGCTGAACTGGACATAAGCACATGGTTACCCACAACTTCTCCTCCCTTTTTGGCAGATACAGCACAAATCCATGATCCATACCCAGAACTTATTTCTGATCAATTGATGAGGCATCAGGATGCATGTGAGGAATCATAGCCTTCAGAGAAAAACAGATTATGGTTAATTTTGACAAAGACTGTGCACACTGTTGGATATCAATGTAGTTTTTTACCTAGGCTCACAGGGGTAACAAAATGACATGCATATTTTTGCATCCAAATCCATAATTTAATTTTTCAATTATTCGATCAATTCATGACAATGATCCATTTATTCTATAAATGAAACCTACTGTTATTGTTTTTGACCTTACAGTGAAAATCAAATGCCCAGATTGCTTTCGCACTGAAAATCTGAAGAACATTGACCCGAGTGATGTAGAATCCGTGTTGATGATGAGGCCAGAGCCTGGCTGTCCTATCCTGCTTCTGTAAGTCACCTGCTTCTGTGACAACACACTTTTCTTTCTCGCTTGTCAAAATGTCTGATGCTTCACTACTTTTCAATACCTCAAGGATTAAAACCTTAGAAGCTCCATGAATTTAATAGTCGATAGTATCAAAGAGTACTGAACCTTTTTAAGAACTTCAGATCCTTGGTTATATTTTTAACCAAAAATCTGCTGCAGGGGAAAGAGAGAGAGAACACTGTCGAAATTATCCAAATACATAAAACGTATTTGTGCAACTTAGACAGTCAGTAAGTGTACATGCACAAGTAAGTCGAGCTACGGTTACAGCTTAATGAGGCCATTTAATTGGAATACTGTACTTGTCCCAGTACACATGCATCAAGGGAGAATGGATTTATTCACAGAGGTATGTCCCTCTGCTATGATAGGTGGTGCTATGCACCCTATTGGACCTATTTCCAGTTGCTCTTTCTCACAAGTTAGTAAACAGCAAAGTGGTGGTTGCATGTTGAACGGTTAAAACATGGACAACTTTACAGCTCTGTACACTTCGTTCATGGTTCACGCTTTACTTTTAGATCGAATGCGATGCACGCTATCCCTCCAGCTTATGGGGATATCAGCAGGTCGACAACGGCGCGACTTCTGCCTAGCTATGTATTTATGCTGGTCTACTTATGGGGTAAATCCAGGGGCGGGGACTGTGGACTATGCGTAGAATGCTGAGTCTAGTTTGGGTCCATGTGAGGCGTATACATGCAAAAGTTAATCGATCTTCAACCACATTATCTAGGTTAGTCCGACTTCGAGTAATTCAATTTAGTACAACTGTAGTTGGACTAGCTTGTTTACAGCTCCATGTAAACGTACTGATTTTGCAGGAGTTTGCCTTTTTGTTTTGGTAATTGGAAACAGGAAACTATTTAATCTTGGGTGCCTTTGACTTCTATTTTTTCTGGTCACAAATCACAAATTATGGTGAGCTTTTGCAGCGATACAAAAGAAGCCTTGCTAACCAAATTTGATTGTATTTGTCTTTTGGTTCACAGCGTGAAAAACAGAAATGAAAATACCCTCTGTGTTGACGCGTCCCAGCCAATGTTCAAGATTCTACTGGCCAACCTGGACATTTAAGCCCGCCTGCAAGACAACTCAGAATGCATTTTCTGATCCCCCTTTGATCCTGCAGGGGAGGGGTTACAGGGGTTTAGGTGTGAGGCAAAGCATGGAGAACATATCATGAGGTTTGATGCATTTTACTTGTAAGCCTTTGCTTCTTCTTTATATATACAAAAGTAAACATTTGCTTATTATTATCTCAAAGATTTTTAAAGAGGTCCTCTTCCACCACATGTGGTTGATTCATTTGTTCATGTGTTCTTCTGATGTGTAATACTGTATCTTACATTTTCTGTACTTCTTGCTGTTTTCATTATTAAATAAAAGCATTATAGAAAAAATACATGTTTTTAAAGAAGAACTGTCTGTTTATCCACTTGTCGTTTTTAAGGTTTATTTTTGGGCTTTAGGGATTTTTATGCCTCTATTCAGCGATAGGAAAATGGACTGAGTCAGAAATCAGGGAGGCTAATGGGAACGCAATGATTCGATGGCTGTGTACATTTCTGCAGAAAGTCGTCTAACCTGAGTTACGTCTCAGGTTTGCATACTAATAAACAAATAAGTCCATCTTCCACCAAAAAGTTGTCTCTTTCCTCGTCGATCTTCAAGTAAGCTTTAAACTTTTGGAAGCTTACAAACCTACCTCAGCTGGCATGTAAAATGTAGCCATTTAGCCTTGGACACCAGTTACCATGGTAACAGCTGAATACACAGACACAGAATCCACATGCTAAAAGTTTGTCAACAATTAGTTCTAAGACGCTAGCAGAGTCATATTTGTGCAATAAAACTGAACCATGTCAGTCGACTTTGGCTTCTTCTCACAACGTCTTTGTTGGTGCCACACCCTCTTTGTCAACAAATGCACGTCGCCTATGAGGGGAGGTAACAGCGCTGTGTGTGTCTTAACGCCCTGACTCACCAAGCAGGCGGCAAAGAACTAGTGAAATAAGTCCACTGAGGGAGGAGTTAAAGAGTCTGATGGCCGCAGGCAGGAATGACCTCCTGTGGCGTTCTGTGGAGCATTGTGGGGGGATGAGTCCAGTGAGTCTAGTTTATTGACTTCAAAGACATGCCGTAGTTTGAATAAAACTCATCAAACAGAACGCTGAGAACGGTGCATGGTGCATGAAGTCTTTATACTTGCCTACAACTGCATCATACATCTCTGTAATGCACCATTTTACTCTAGTGCCATCTGCTGATTATAAGTAGAAACTGCAGGTTATGTCAGATACGATAGGACTCAAAAAGGCTTCACAATTCCACTCAAAGATTACATTTTTGACCATTTTTACGCTGATTTTCTTTTATAGTCTGATCACATTTAATTCCTCCTTCATTAGTTCAGTTGTCTTCAGGTTTTTCTTCCACCTGCCACGGACAGTCTCAGCTTCAGTTTCTCCAGTTTTTCCTCCAGGAGGTCGGCGGAGTCCACAGTGTCCTCAAAGTCCCGCAGCAGAGCCCTGTTCCCCAGCAGCCCACCGCGCTCCTTCAGCCTCAGGTTGTCTCTCTGCAGGCCGTTTCGGGTCTTTTTAATCCTGGTCAGGAGCTCTCTCTTCCTGGCCAGTGTGACCTCCACCTCAGCCAGCTGCTCTTTCTTGGCCTGGACCTCCATCTGGCCCCAGGACAGCTTCTCCTTTACATTCGACAGGACCTGAGAGTGCAGGAGAAATAATAAACAAATAAAAAAAAACTGTAAAGCAACAAAGAAAAGTACATCCTGCGTACCTTTCAACTTACCTCCAAGCTGCTGCTGATCTTTTTCCGTATCTTTAAGGATTCCTCGTGCTGCTTTTCTGTTTGTTTTCTCAGTTCTAGTCGCTCGGCCTGCAGACGCTCAAACTGGAGCTGGAGTGGATCTCTCTTGTCGTCCCTGTCACGGAGCTCCGCCTCCAGCCTGTGAATCTTCATCCTGAGGTGGCGATGCTTGAGACGCAGCTTGATCAGCTCATCCTGGCGAAGCTGCTCCCCCGCGAGAGTCGACTCCACTTTGGCCTGGGCGGCTTGCTTGCCGAGAAGTCTGCCTAGAAGTGAAACAGCTACATCCTGCTTCAGTGCCACAAATGCTCGCCATTCTTTATCCACCTGAGGACGAAGATAAGATACCTGAAGTCATACTGCATACTGCTAATAGTATGTGATAGGGCTGAAGGATGCTGGGACAAAATGGCATTGCAATATCTTTTCTTTCTGCGATGTATATTGCAATATAGGCTTAATTATGGCATTTAACATTTGAATCATGCAATCATAATTTAATGATCTTATACCTAAGTCCATTTTTAACCACGGCTGGATATGAAAAAAAAAAGACCAACCTTTTCCAGCTTCTCCTGGGACTGTACCCTCAGCTCGTCCTCCTGCTGCTGAGCGCTCTCTGACTCCGTGTTTATCTGCTGCTTCAGCTCCATCAGCATGTTCATGCACCTCTCATACTCCTGCAGCTGCTCTGACGCCTGCTTCTCCCTCTCCACCTGAACATCGTCCCCGCCCTTCTTGCGGAAGTACTCCACCAGCTTCACCTGCAGCAGGCTGCTGCGTTGGTTGGCTAAATGTCTCTGCTCACACAGCTCCTGCAGGAGTTTGGCGTACTCCTTGTAGCAAGTTTCTGCTTTTTCTGCAGCACTGGGCTCCTCTTCCTCAGCCTCGTCTTCCTCCTCCTGTGGACTGGTTGTCTCTTTATCTGGGGACTCAAGATGCAGTCTGGGAGGTCCACCATCGTCAGTACTGTTTATCTCAAAAACAACACTCTCCTCGTGGGACATTGGCAGTTCATTGGCTGTGTTTACCTTCATATCGAAGTCTGGATTTGAGTCAGGAAGTTCATCTGCAGTGTTTTCTTCTGGTTCAGAGGTGGCTCCTTCTTCATCAGGGGCCTCTTCGGTAGCTTTCACACTTTCTGGGATTTCTTCATCATGACCGGATGCCTCTATTTCAACTGGGACAGTTCTATTTCCATTATCAGGAAAAGAAGAAAATTCCTCATTATTAGTTAAACCTGCTGACACCATGTCTGTGTCATTCTTCACCTCACTTTCTGTGTTTTCTGGTTCTGAGTCCATTTTTAAAACAAAAATAAAATAAAATAAAACGTATAGTTAAATTATTGATATTATGTCAGAAGCTGTCCGGCTCGTGTCCTTCTGTAGTTCATGAAACTGTTCGTTTTGTTTCAGTTGTCCTGGAAACTGCGACCGAGAGCCAATCAGAAGCGCCCTAGGCCTTCATGAATATTAACAAGCAGGATGTGAGTAGGTTGCGCGGCAAAGCGTTGCCAATGCGCAGGCGCGGAGTTCTGCGCTCCAACAACAAGAAGCAGGAGCCAGGCAACATGGCCGACCTGGGGAAGAAGTACTGCGTAAACTGCCTCGCAGATGTTACGAACCTGCGGCTCCGCTGCACCGACTGTCCGGACATCGAGCTGTGTCCGGAGTGCTTCTCGGCTGGAGCAGAACTCGGGAATCACCGCCGATGGCACGGCTACCAGCAGGTCGACGGCGGTCGGTTCTCTCTCTGGGGTCCCGAGGCAGAGGGAGGATGGACCAGCAGGGAAGAGCAGTCGCTGCTCGATGCTATCGAGCAATACGGATTTGGAAACTGGGTACATCATTTATTAAGTTACTTTTCTTCACTTTGCTCATGTCTGTACACCATATCAGCTAACACAGTGCTCAGTACATACATATGTTAAAGTTGGCCAGTAGTGATGATAATATTTATGAAAACCTTCTGCTCGAGTCCCGCCGTCAAAGTTAGACGACTGAGCTGAATCCAGGGGCCCAAGGCAAGATATATTTGGGGGGCCCTACAACCTGTGTTTATCACCATTATGTCTGCTGTTGTCCCAGCGCTTACTCCACTTCCTCGTACTTCCTGGTACATTTGTTGACTTTCATTGACAAACTTTTGGTTTCCACAGCAATTATGCTGCAACGCTTAGCAGGGCAACGAGAGTGAGTGATGTCAGATGAGGACCCCTTAAGACCCTGACACACCAAGCAGGCCGCAAAGAGCAAGTGGAGACGAAGGCCGACTCACTTGAACACACCGCAAAGACTACAGCCGATGGACAACCACCACGTTCGTTCTGCGCATACCTGAGAGGAAGTAACTCTCCATGCCAGCAGGGGGCGGTAGTCCGTTGTTATGATATGAGACGACCATTTTCACACCGCTGTCGCTCACCACTCGTATTATAGGTAGACTACTAATGGAGAATAATGTCTGATAAAAAGTTGAAAATGGCGCTGGTCTTTTAGTGGAAAAAGAAAAGAAAAAGAGAAACTGCTCTAATGGGTGAAAGTATGGAGACTACAGCAGCATGCTCAAGGGGCTTTACAGAACCTGAGAGGAGAGCTGGAGAGAAATGAAACCACCCAACAGCCAATCAGAGAGACTCCTTTCACCGACGCCGATTCAATATGTTGAATCCCCGACGGGTAGCGACAGAGCTAGTCATACCAACACCAACTAGGGCGACGATCTCCTTGGTGTGTCAGGTTCTTTAGGGGCCCTTTACTGGCCTGGGGCCCCAAGCAGTGTCCTACCTTTTCTGTTGACAAGCTGAAACTATGTAACTTCAGTAAATCATTTTAAAACTACATAGTGTATAGGGTATATTGTAGTTTTAATTATTTAAGGCAAAAAGTGTAAACATAATATGGGACATTATGAGGAGCTTGTTTGTGTGCGTGGTGACTTTCCGTCGTATGATATTTTTGAATGATTCCAGAAGGAACATAAGAAATATAATAATGTAATCATAATGGTCTTAAGAAAAGTCTATTACTATGAAGTGTACTACACTAAACATTTGAACTTGACTTAACTCTCTGTTACATGTTGAGCTTAAACATTTGTATCGATGTAAGGAGGTTATAAAAAAATCACTTTATAATTTATTAATTACATCTCATTGATAATGATTTATTATCCTGGCTTTATGAAAACAGCACGTTAGAATTATTTGCGTTATTATTTGTTTTCAACTAAAAGCTAATTCTCTTAGAATTTATTTTATTGAATTAGGACAGTGCACATTAATAAAGATATCAACAATATATTCTGCATCAATGTAAATGTGCCAGAGTTACTACTAAAGTTACATTTCAAATGTCCTGATGCAGGTTTTTATTAGAGACATAAAAATAAAGTACAATAACAGGACGCCTCACGGGACAGTCTGCAGGGCTGCACACAAAATAACTCAGACAGTTTTAAAAACAAAGTGGACACGGTTATGATATGAGACAGACACACTCTGTGGCTCAGAGACGACCGACTGAGCCTCAGCCGCCTTTTGTCCTTAATTGATTTTAATAAATGACAGTTCATTTTGGGTTGTTAGAAAACTACACAAAAAAAAGAAAATATCTTTCATGATTTTCAACTTCCTTCATTTTTCCAGAAGTCAGCGACTAAAACTGAAAGTTGATTAATTCAACTTTTCAGCTGCATGATATTCCACCATTTATTTTTATATTTTTTTTGACCTTCCATCCTTTTTAAGGAGGTGCAACTGCCAAGCCTTTGTTGAACACAGCCAATAGTAACGCCTTCACTTTAAAAATAAAAAAAAACATGATTTGAAAGATCCTGCTAAGAGGGAGATTTTATAAAACCTGAAAATGGGGCCAAGAAGGGCCGCAGATTTCTCCAACAACTACTGAACTACTTAAAGATGAAATATTGATTCATGAAATGTTTGAGTCTCCTCTGTTTGTAACTCAGTGAATAATGTCCCTGTTCCTGTGTCTTTCAGGAGGACATGGCCGCTCATGTCGGAGCGTCCAGAACTCCTCAGGAAGTCATGGAACATTACGTCACCATGTACATCCATGGAAACCTGGGTAAGGCGTGCATCCCTGACAACATTCCCAACAGGGTGACGGATCACACCTGCCCGAGCGGGGGTCCCCTGTCGCCAAGCCTCACCACCCCGCTCCCTCCGCTCGACATCAGCCTGGCCGAGCAGCAGCAGCTGGGCTACATGCCGCTCCGTGACGACTATGAGATCGAATACGACCAGGACGCAGAGAAGCTCATCAGCGGGCTGTCGGTGAACTACGACGACGAGGACGTGGAGATTGAAATGAAACGGGCCCACGTGGACATGTACGTGCGCAAGCTTCGAGAACGCCAGCGACGCAAAAACATAGCCAGAGACTACAACCTGGTGCCCGGGTTCCTGGGGCGGGACAAGAAAGACAAGGAGAAGGAGAAACCGGGAACGCTGGGGGTAACAGGCACCGCTGGTGGTGTGGGTGCAGCGGGAGCTGGTGGCGGCACAGCTGGACCCGGATCCACGGCTGCAGCAGGATCAGGTCCTGTACCGAGTACTCCGAAAAGGAAGGTCACCAAAGAAGAGAAGGACCAGCGGGTGAGGCTGAGGGGGCTCTGTCAGTTCATGGCCCATCGGGAGTTTGAAGACTTCTTTGAGAACATGCATAAAGAGCGGCTGCTGAGGGCAAAAGTGCGCGAGCTGCAGCGCTACCGCCGCAACGGCATCGCCCGCCTGGAGGAGTCCTCTGAATACGAAGCAGCGCGCCACAAACGGGAGAAACGTAAAGAGAACAAAAGTGTGGTCACCTCCAAACGTGGCAGCGGAGGAGGAGGCGGTGGGCTGGGATCAGGGATTGGTTTGGGAGGGACTGGAGGAGGTGGAGGTCTTGCTGGAGGTATGGGGGTCGGAGGTGGGATCAAAGAAGAGGGCAAAGACGGCGAGTTTTCTGCGATTGAGAACCTGACGGGCTTCGAGCTGCTGTCGGACAGAGAGAAGGTGCTGTGCAACTCCCTGAACCTGAGCCCGGCACGCTACCTGACTGTCAAAACCATCATCATCAAGGATCACCTGCAGAAGAGGCAGGGCATCCCAGCCAAGAGCCGGCTGCCCAGCTACCTGGACAAGGTGCTCAAGAAGCGCATCCTCACCTTCCTCACAGAGAGCGGCTGGATATCCAGAGACGCCTCTTAGCCCGAAGGAAGTAATGGACTGATGTTTTTCTCTACGCTCCGTAGGGAAAACAAAACTACTGTCGCTCACCATTTTTCAAAGGTGACCTTGTGAATATGTAAATTACAAAAAAAAGAGGATGTCCCACTGGAAAAGATTTTATTTTCATACCAGGGCTGGGAACAAAATGAAGCTTATATTTCTACATTTGGAATGGGGGATGGGGGGGGGGATTCAACGCTGGGGGTCTTCATATTGTTAAGACATGATTGGTAGCTACAATGCTTACAGGTGTGTTGTAGCTGTGGAGATATTTGAGTGTTATTGCGTCACGTTTACAGACGATGCCTATGGGTGAAAAAACAGCACAGGACTAAAGCCAGAGCGTTAAACTTTCTGAGAATGTTAAACATATTTTTATTGAATATTTCACAGAGAGGCACTACTGACTGAGTGACTGAAATTATGTGGAGGCTTCAGATTGTTCTCAGGATCTTGAAAACTCGACCAAACCGGATAAAGCTGAACGCCCCCCGTACGATTGATCTGTTCTGTCTAATATTTTACACCCATAAGATCCTGAAGGTTGTCTTGCAACGTCAGTGAAATCCATGTTTCAGCACTAATTTCTTTACTTTTTTTTTTACAGCCTGTTAGAGTCTGTGTGGTTTGTTATTTCTGTACAAAACCAGCACTCAGCGTCGTAATCACAGGAAGTCTGTGACTCCATCAGCTGCGCTCTGTTGAAAATAGTTCAACATTTGGAACACCAGCGCGCATGTCATTGTCACTTATCCCTCATCCACCAATCAAAACCAAGAAGGGGCGGGACTACTGATATTGACTTTGTCTAAAACAATGGTGAGGAGAAAGTGATCTGCCCGGGGGGTTTCGTTTTCAGGTCTAACGCTTCTGCCAATGTCAGGAAAGTAATCACATTTTCTCATGTTTTTTTTAGATATTTTTCTTGAATAAACGCAAATAACACAATCAGAGACCTGATCGTCACTACTGAGGAAAGCGGTAGCCCCCCTAGACAACTTATTGTAACCTAGCAACAGTAAGCACCTATGAGAACCACTCTGATATTGAGTTTGCGAGAGCTGCCAGCGCACAAGAAACCTTAAGCCGACACAGGACCAACCAGTCTGACAGATATACAGTATGTTGATATGACAGACTGTGTATAAGAAATGGACAAAGAAACCAAAATGACAACCATTCGCTTGTGGATGGTTGTTTTAAAACCTTGAGTTTGTCCTCAACTTGTTAGTTTTGGTTGCAGCAGTGACCATTTTTTAACGAGAGGGTTGATAACACACATCTTGACTATTTCCTGGTTGTCAGGCTGCTGTTGTTGCGACTTGTCCACCACAAGAAGCCCCGCTACAATTCATTAATCGTGGACCAAAATGATGTTATATATAAAGAGACCTGAAACCAGAGGAATTCATTTAGACCTTGTAGAAAATGTTTACTGAGGTAGAAGTAGATCTCGTAGACTTTATACCAAAAGTCTTTTGACCTCTAACCCTTAAGGAAGAAGGCAGTTCAGATCCAAGAGGCTACATCCCTCCTTATAGTCTTTGTTTCACCAAGTATTCAACTCTGCAGTGATAAGTGCGTACTCGTCCATCAGTAAGTAACTAGGAGTCTCAGAACAGACAGGCCAAAAGATTTATCGAGAGAGAATTAAGAAACTGTGTCGCCATTATGGAGTCATGTAGTTGCAAAAAAATCACAAGCAAGTTAATTTTTTAACATTTCCTGCTCTGTAAATGATCTCGACCACAGTTCTTTCAAAGGCATGTTAAAGTTTACGTATTGAACTCTTGGGCCCTGAAACACAGGCATCAGTATTCTCTTATGATGTTAAAATGGTGAAAAAAGAAAAGTTACAGGTTAACGGGTAGGACCAGTTTAAATGTTTATGGTTTTATTTTTAAGAGTTACGTCGTCAAAATCAGCTTTTAATGCTTAGTCGGTGCTGGGGTCACAGCTTCATTACATTTCTAGCAAAAACAAACCATCAAACGATATCGATACCATGGCAACAACAATCACTGTCCGCTGCAGACCATATTGGGTAATTTCCTGTTTCATTGCCAGGAAACTCGTAGAAATTGCACAAATGCGTTGGCAACATTTGGGTATAGAACTTCTGCAGTTGGTTAGTTTATTTGTGTCTTTGTGTGTTAATTCAGTGCCGACTCAATATTTGTATATCAGTCAATAACGTACATAGTGACTGATGGAGACAGTGGTGGTCTTTTGCAGAGATTTGGAGGAGTCTGGTGGGTTTCAGGAGGGGGATTGAGCAGCTGTTTCTGCTTTTAAAACGTCTCAATCTTTAACTTGAACGTTCAGTCTTTGTCAGTGTCCTCTCTGTAATATTGGGAGATGCTCAGAATAACAATCTGAGCCTGTCAGTGGCAGAAACACAGACTTTAAGTGGACTACTTTTCAGCCTACTGGCGCAGTCCCAAAAACCTTTTGAACCTATCAGTCATCATGACCTAAACTATGTTTAAAAAAAAAGAGGGGGGGCTGATGTTTGAACTGATTGGCATTAGATCCCCACGTCACATGCACAGAGCTTCCCAGTCCCTCAAACAGACGTCACCTGCTCCTCCATGACGGGTATTTTTTTAATTTTTCTTAACGGTAACCTCACTTTTGTCTCAAAGGCTGAACTCTTACTGCAGCAGCGGTGACTCATTTTCATTTTCCTGCTCCTTTTTTTTTTTTTTTTTTTCTCCCGAGCCAAGCTGAGCTGTGGGTGCAGAGCTATTTAAATGTAAATGAAGTTATTGAGTCGGCTGTTATTTCACAGCAGGAGCTCGTAAAATCAGGAGAATGTGTGGAGTTTACCTAAACTGGATTATGTCCTAGATTCATATTCTTTGCCTCATTACTGTGTCGGAGACTGCTGGGTAATTTGACCTTTTTTTGTTTTTTTAGATTTCTATAGCTGTAAATCAAAACACCTTGAAGAGGCTGAACCCAGCAGTGATCTTCACATGTACAGCATGTTTCAAAACCCTCAAGTTTCTTCTCTCTCTGCGTCACAGAGCCTCATTGTTGTCCAGATACTATTGACTCTGCATTTCTGCTAACGTGACACTAGAGCCCGACCGATTATTCAGCAGTCGATAATATCGGCCGATATTAGCTTGTCCAGTGACTATCAATGTAGTCTACTTTTATCTCAGATATGCACCAATATACCTTGTATTATTCTCCAGTCAAATAGCATTTCATTTGAGTGTCATTGTGTTACACTAGCAGTTCTTTTTCACCAGCAGAGGGCGCTATATTGAATCCAACAATCATCATCACCCTCCAGAGTGTCAAGCAGTGATGCACATACATGGGTAATTACTGTCAAGTTGAGTAACCATCTTGTCTTCGTTAAATATCATTTCAACAAGTGTTTGATAACTGCATTTGAGGGCTCAACGTAATGAATGTGTACATCTATATAGATCAAACATAGAGATGTCAGTTGATATGTCCGTATCTGATTTTTTTCTAGCGGTATCAGTCCCAAAAATCGTATATCGGTCGGGCCCTAGTGAACACTCACAAGCGTGCAAATGTTAATTTGTGGCTGCAAATTGTTCCCAAATGCACTTTTACTTCCATTGGAGCCACACATTGATTGAAAAAGCTCTCTGGAAATGTATAGTAAGTGTTTTAACACAGATTTGTGTCATCCATAACCGGGTTTGGGCTCAGCGCAACAAACAGAGAAGAAATTCTGTACATATTGAGAGGTGGACTTATTTGTCATGGTTTTCTAGGGGCTGCGCGGTGCTGCAGTGGTTAGCGCTGTTGCATCACAGCGACGAGGTTCCTGGTTTGAATCCCCGTCTGATAGGAACCTCACAACACAAACGCACAATGGCACAGATACTGACAGGATTTCTGTGATTGGCAGCTGAATTCTAACATAGTGAATCAAACTTCTGCAGATTTTTGAAGTTTGAGATCACAGACCACCTTGACTATCATTTCAAAAAGAGTCAAAATCCCAAGTTATGGTTCTCTTTTCCACTCAGGGCTTTGGAGGAAAACGTTTAATGGCATCTTTTCAACATTCACAGTCGGTCACCTCCACTACAAAGACTTGTTCCTTGCACTATTTCCACTACATGTTCACTGATAGCTCAGGTTCCGATGAGCCGCTTTATCGAAGGTGATGCTGCACCGGGCCGTTTATCTGACACCCGAGGGAAGGTGTAAGCATGAGTAAAGTATTTTAAAACAAAAAGATATCATCTTAAAGAGCCGAGCAGGTGTCTTAAGATATTTCCAACCAAACTAGGACCCACAGCGTCAGTGGAATCAGCCGGTTGAATGTAACTGTTAGATTTGGTTTTCTGCGAGAGGCTTTGTTCTGCATGTGCAACCAAATGTTCCACTTTGTTCCCAGATGGAGTGTTTTGGTGTAAATGTCTGAAAGGAAAATATGGCATTCATAGTTTTTTTGTTCCCAGGTGTGGGACTATTTTTATGTAAAGTGGGAGGGAGGAGGGGGGGGGAGGGTTGTTTACTTCATGCCACAAATTGTAAATAGTTTTGTAAGATACATTGGAAGAAAAAAAAACTATAACGGACTCGTGAAATGTAAAGTATTTTGTGTCACTGAAATTTTTATAGCTTTTGTAATAAATAAAAAAAGATATTGGAGGACAAAGAGGCGTTGAGCCGGCGCTCTGGGTGTAGTGATGGCATGCTGAGTCTGATATTGTTGAGCTGTTTTGTTGTGTTGTTACTTTGTTGTTGCAAATAACAAAGTTTGGAGATGTATTAAAAGTGCGGATACTTTAAAACTGCAAATAGTTCTGTTTTCTTTTTCAATTTGCAGGACCCTCGAGCCTTAAAGGAGCAGTATGTAACTCTGACACCTAGTGTTTAAAGTGGGTACTGCAGTCCAAATTCAAAACATTACAGAGCTGTCTCCCCCCGCCCTCCTCTCTAGAGTCGATGCTCTCACAGGTCACCATGTGGTGAACTCTGAAGCTTCAGTGTTTATCCAGCTCTGCATGGGTCTGTAAACCTTTCTGTGTTCTAACCTCTCTCCATTTTTCAAAAGCATCTCCAATTGATCCTAGTTTGAGCACGTTTCTGCTCGTGGAGCTTATTAGAAACATGCAGAGGCCTTTTAGGTCGGGTACAATCACTTCTATCTGAACCACCTCTTGCCCGCTTCCATCACTGCAACACCTGTTGACCTGATAACTGCTCTCATATCTGACAAACAGAGGGGCGTCCAAAACGGCCGTGTGGGGGTGTCTTAAAAGCGCCTACCTTCTCTGGTCCAAACAAATCCAGATCATTTAGGACCAGAATCTAAAGTTAGAAGGAGGACATACTGGCTGCTGCATTGTTGTCAGAGAAGCCAGCACTTCAACATGTTTCCTTAATGTCTGATCAGACAGTAAGATCACTTTATCATTTCATTCAGGAGATTTCTTATTGATTGCTCCTTTAAGAAGGAAAACGAACCCTATGCAAACACAAAATGAATCAGCTTCAGAGTGACAAAGAGAGGGTTTGTTACTCTGGTCTGAAGAGTTCCACGAGAGCAGCATGTTAATGAAGTTACATCGCTGACAGTTTTCATTCACTCATTTTTAAAATGCAAAAAAAAAAAACACATCTCACTCTGCATTTCCAGTTTCAGTCAGTCGCAGAAAGTGATACATTTAGTTGCTGTATTTTTCTTTAAAATGTTAAAATTGATCCAGAACAGACGAACTCCAGTCACGTCTGATGTAAATGTCGAATATTTGAAGAAATTATTTTTTTAGGTGTCAGGTGGAGCAAATCACCTTTTTCTTTAACTGTAAGACTACAACTCAAAGTATTTATTGATGAATTTAAGCAGATGATTATACCATTACTATGACAGCCGTGTGAATACTGCATCCAGTCATCCTCTACTTTGAAACGGTTTCATCAACATTGCATCAATTTACAGTCAGCCAATCAATCAAATAGTTAGATTACTTCAACTTCTTCCTGTTTACGGTCCAGTCGTAGATGCACAAAAAGGCATTTCTGGATTTTTCATGATACTGAAGAAATGTTAAAAATGTGGGGAATGTTGTGGTCAGTTTCTAGAGTAATGTGAGGATTGTCTGACTGTTTTATGACTTCTTAGTGGTTTCACCAAATCTAAAGCTGTATTCACACATGCACTGCTGAAAATATCTAGTTTCAGGAGGACTGCTCCGGATATTCTCCTCACTGCTGAAGACTGTCCCTGTCAGACAGAAGGGGGGGCAGGGGGTCTCCTGAGGTAGGTCCTCTGTGATGTGAAAAAAAATTACGCAACAGAGTCCACTATATGATGCTATAATGAGAATATTTGCCTTTATATCAATGCTGTGTAGTTCAACAGAATCACATCAACAAGAGAGTGGAGAACAGAAAAGTTAATGCATCAGTTTAATGACGTGCACAGAGATGGTAGCGGTCGTGCGTACGCTATGCACTGTGCAGCAGTGACAGGATATAAACATCACTCCCTCTCCTATTGGCTCGAGGTGAATTCTCCGTAGAATATCCTGCAGTGGGGAAAAAACGACGAGTCTGGCAGGAGAAACTCCGGGTGAAGTGTGAGCGGCTGTTTGCGTTTACACATAAAGCTCCTGCAAATATCAGGAGTGTTTTTAAGGAGTTTCCTGCAAGTGTGAAAGCCCTAAAAAAAAGTTTGTTAGCTGTTTCTGTTTTAGATTGTTAATGAGAAACGACCTCTGAACAACTGCTGATCGTGTCTGCCTTACATCTTTAGCTCCTCAGCTGTGGGTAAGTGGGGAAACTTTTCAAGGTGTGTGTGTGAGAGATGAATATAAAACAGAAACTTTTTATAGTTGGTCACTTTATTCTGATGCTGTGATGGTTCAAACTACCGTCTGTACACATGCTAATGACTTTTTACAGCATCGTCCAGAGCTGCACTGTGGTGAAACGAAAGCCCACCTCAGTACCAAGTAACACCTCAGACCTTTTTTCTGATCTTCAAAGTACAGTTCTGCCTTTATTCATATGATACATTTTTAAACTCACAAACATGAAAAGTCACATTTAAGATTATGAAGGTGTGAATCTAAAGTCTGGAATGACACCAGCAGGTCAGAATTAGCCGTTTTTTTGATTTGTGGATGGATTTTTTATACTTCATTTTTCACCTGCTTCTCTTCTAGGTCGATGTGTGTGTCTGCACCTGAATATGGCGAGTATTTTATTATAAACTCTATATATACTTCTGTCTCTGAAGTGACTCAGCTGAAATGTTATTATGCATCTTAAAAACTGGTGGAGATAGTCCAGATACAAAGTGCAGCTCAGTTGGGGTCCTGTGTCTCTGAGGCACCTCAGGGTGGGCCAATGAAAGGAAGGAAATGTGGTGGGGGGGGGAAAGGTGGGACAGGGTGCCTTGACCAGTCTGCTGCACCTGAGCTCCTCCATCGCCAAGGCAACCAAACAAATCTCACTTTGTCAAAGTTACATGATCATTTCTAGGGGGCTTTGGCCACGCCCACCAACGCCGGCCTGAGGGTGCGACCGTGAAGTTTGTAGCCCACTTTGGTCACCACGGCGACGCTGCCTGGCTCCTTGCCCTCGACGGGCGCGTGGAAGAGCGCCTCGTGCTCGTAGGGGTCGAACTTCTGGCCATCGGGGTTGAGTTTGACCAGGCCGTGTTTGGTGAACACCTTCTGGATCTGGACTTCGGTCATCACCAGGCCGTCGTACAGGTTCTTCAGGTGAGGGTTCTGGCCCGTCACCTCCTCTTTGGGGACGCTCTCCATGGCTTTCTCCAGGATGTCCGCCACCTCCAGCAGGTCTTTACAGAAGCCTTGTATCCCTGGTGATGTAAACAAAGGAATTTGAATATTACATCAGAGATTTCTAACAATCTTTCTCTAGTGTTGCTTTGAACAAGTTCTTCATAGGTAGGATGACTGTGTGCAACAGGACCAAAAAGGAAGACAGACACGTCTTCTCTCGAGGTACGTTGTGTTTACTCTTAGTTTTACCGACACAACAAGCCCAAATCCAGATCAGGAAAAGGATTTTAAATTAAGCAACTGAATCATTTTGAGGAAACAGTTCGGTCAAAGGCTAAAGTTTCCCGTTGGTGCCATCTAGTGGCAGAAACGTGCAACTGCTGAATATTTGACCCAGAGCCAAGCGTCCTTTCCTGCAGGATATATCCTCTGTGAAGTCCATGTTGGCGTCTTAAAAAAGTGTAAATGTGAAAGAGTGGATGAGCTCAAAGTGAGAGAGGTTTTTACCGTATAATTTAGCGTCTTCCATCATCTTCTGACTCCTCGTCCTGAGGTTCTCTGTGTCTGCTAAGGCCCGCTTGTACTTTTCCTGAGAGAGAGACAAACTAGATTAAAAACACAACATCAAGGCCACAAACTGAGATTAGTAACAATTTATTTGTAACATCTGTTGGGGGTTGACAGCAAAATAGTTTAGTAGACATTGAAAAAAAATACACATTGATGTTGCTTCTAAAGCAGCTGTTAGGCAGCCTTTGTTAAGATGATATTGATTAAGATATGCACTTTAAATTCATCTAGCCATCGCCTTTTGTTTGTCATTATTATAAACGGTTACAAACCAGTAGTTATCATTTTGAAAAATGTTTCATGGCCATAATGTGGCAGTGAGCTTGTCTGCAGTCCTCTCTGACTTACCGTCATATCCTTGAGCTGCTCCCCCAGCTGGGTCTTCTCCTCCATCAGGACTTTCTCCGCTGAGTTCAGCTCCGGCTTCTCGGCCTCCTCCTCTGGTCCCTGACCGTTCTTCTGCTGCGTGGCCGTGCATAACAACCTCGGAGATGCTCTGGATTGGATGGAGAATATAATCACTCAGTTATGTTGCTGAAACATTCGGAGCCTGATCCTGATATTACACTCAGCAGAGGCATTTTTCTCTTTCAACAATAAGTCACCTACATCAGGTAGCTAAATGTATTAGCATCTCTTTAAAAAAACATTTTCAAGCTTAGAATTAAAGTCAAACAAATATTAAACTGTCTTTTTCTCCAGTGAATACTGTCCATTTTCCTCATCTTGTATTTCAGTAACTAGAGTAAGTTTTAAGACTGTGCGTAAGACCAAACCAAACACCTCTTATTACTGTAATCTGGACGCTTATCGACTTTAAAATGTATTTGACTAATTGAGAAATAACTGCAGTCATACCATTCAAACATAATGAAGTTCAAATTCTGTCCAAAATAATTCTGCTGGACAACGACTGAATCTTTCAAATAAACGTTTTATTGTACCGCTCGGCTTCAACACTGCAGTTTAAGTAACAGAGGTATTAAATATCATGCACAATAAAACAACATTTATATTTCTTTTTACAGACACGGCTAAATGAATTGATGTGTTGTGTGGAATCGGCTCCCAGGCATTCAGTAGTCGTTTGTTTTGATGGAAGCTGATGTTTATTTGTTTGATAAGTTGTTCAGTAGTATTGAAGAGTATCAAAAAGCTGACAACCTCGGCTGAAGCGTCAGAGGCATCAGAAAGCTTTAATACCACTGAAGCCAATTGAACAACTGCCATTGGCGCTTACATGTTACGCAACTGACTTACATGTCTTTATTTGTCTAAATCAAAAAGAATCAAGTCAAGTGGTCGATGTAATGACTTATTTCAATGCATGCCTCATTATGTCATCATCCCTCTCTCGCCAGTAGAGTAAAGCAGATACAAGACTCCACACTTCATTCATTAAATGTGATATGGAGCTTAAAGCAGAAGAGTTGTGTAGTGTTGTAGTAGAATTGTTAAATTGGCAGATTTATGAATGGGGTTTGGTGTGGCGTCTCTTCTGTCAGGTTACAACAGAGGACAATAATCACACACACACACACACACACACACACACACACACACACACACACACACACACACACACACACACACACACACACACACACACACACACACACACACACACACACACACACACACACACACACACACACACACACACACACACACACACACACACACACACACACACACACACACACACACACACACACACACACACACACACACACACACCTTACTTTTACACCTGGTTAACATCTAAACACACCTCAATATTCAGGTAATGCTTGTATTTTTCACATAAAGGTCAAGCTAACGGTGCTAGCTTGCTGCTAACGTTACTGTGACGGTTTTAGTGGTGACTGTGAAACTCTTAATCCTCTCCGTTAACTACGTCGATGTTACAGTTTCTTCATTTCTTACCTGATCAGCGCAGGTGAAGCAACGACAGAGTAGCTCTGTCTCACCGCTCGTACACACCAGCTCGCCATTTCTCTCTGTAACCGTGCAGCAGGTAAAAAACCCTCCTTGTAACACACGCCGGACGGAGCGCTCAAGCGTGATGTCGTCACTGCGAGCTCTGAGCCAATCAGACGCGAGTAAGAAGAACGCCCCTCCCGTTGGACCAATCGTATTTAAAGGAAGAGTGTGACGGCATGTTATAGTTCGGTTGAGGGGAAGTTTAAAGGTGAAATTCTCGCATGTGACCAAGGACAGTTTTTGGTTACCCAACTCAATCATTTTAAAGGTGTACGTTTACTGCGTTCATGTCAAACTGGTGGTTTAATGTGACATAATACTCCTCTAAAGCAGAACTGTTTTAGTATTAAATCCCTCTCTTGTAACTGAGCTTGAAAGCAATTCGGACAACACATTTGAAATAATGATAAAACATATCACACAAAACCTTTTAGAGTCATGTCTGATGTCAAGTCCAGCAGACAAAGAGCAACATGGCAGCATTTGGAGTCCTGCCTGTGGCCTGTACCGACTGAACATCGCTTCACTTTTATCTTAATGCTGCACATTCTTCATTAAGTATATCCTCCTGAGACCCAGAAATGTATGTTTGTCCTCTGTGGACATGAGTCTCCAAAGCATATTTCTGAACATGTGGGGTCATGTTGACATCTGTTGGGGGTTGACAGCAAAATAGTTTAGTAGACGTTGAAAAAAATACACATTGATGTTGCTTCTAAAGCAAATAAGTGAAATGTTTTAGATAGAAGAATGTTTGAACTTGTTTTTCAAAGTCATCTTAAGGATAAACACACATTTTAGTGTACTTTTTTTGATGTCCTTCATGGTGGACATCAGTACTTGATCTGCTTTTTTATGAAAATCAACGGCTTTGTGCACTGTACTGCTGTGGTGGGCTTGCTTGCCACCAAGCAAGCCCACCACAGCTAAGAGCCCCGAAAAATGTCAGTGCTGGATGTTGCAGATGTCCTAGCATGTGAAATGCTGACATACTGACACATTCTCAATATAAATTCAGCATCTGTTGTAGCTGTAAATATGCCCTGTTTTAGTCCAATTTAATTTAGTTTGTCAGGGACCATGGAGGCCTAAAAATTTACATTCATCTCAGTTAATGAGAGGAGATGCATCACACCAGATTTAGCCGATCAGCTAGATGCCATCTGCAGGTATAAACACAAACTGTACAAAATACACAATTAATTATTACAAAATAGAATTAAGAGCTAATAAAACCAGATTACATCATAACCACATTCCCACCTATGGTCCTATATTTACTTAAATATAACAACAACATGGTGTCCATGCAAATGTTCTTATTTAAATGTTTAGCAGTGTTTCCCCACACATAGACTATACCGGGGCGGACCGCCCAAGTATATTTCCGACCTTTTTATATGTCATTATTCATTTATTCAAAGTGCTGGTGTGCGCTCCGTGCAACCAGAGCCTCGATATTATAAGGTTCTGCGTGCAACACAGCAAAACCAAGAGAGCAGTATCACATCAGCTTCAGAGAAAGAGAGAGTGAGAGAGGGAGCAACAAGGTCCACTTTCCGTACACCTCTCTTCCTAAATGCAAAAACACTGAAGCTTCGTTTTGAAAGTGTTAATGTACATCTGCTTGCTGCTGATGCTGTGCTGAAGTCCTATAAATAACGTAATATCGAGTGGAACTTTTCAAAACGAGAGGCGTACTCCTGGTGTTTGTGTCTGTGCAGATAATTGAAGCAGATTAAAGTTGTTTGTTGCAAAAACTAAATAAATTTAGAGTGGAAAACACATTTGATAGAAATACAGAACAAATATTAAAATTGACCCTAAGATAAGAGTATGACAAAAAAAAAATGACACAACTGCTACAGACTTTGAGAGTCTAACGCGGTTAGCGTTCTTGTTGGATCTTAAGTAGGCGAGGTCAAAGTTTATAAAACACTGAGCTTCACAAAATGTTAGGTTTGTTATGAAGTCAACAACTTTCTGTTTTTGTCTTGGAACAGATTTTGTTTTTCAATTGAATGGCATAGTATTAAAATGTAATGAGCGAGACTGTGAGCGAGACTGTGATATATATATATATATATATATATATATATATATATTATTTATCTGTCAAGAAAAACAACATTGCGAAAAAAATAAAGTCTTGTCAGAAACACATTTGTTCTAAACTGAGCAACGGTACATTTTGTTTCAGTTTTCTCCTCATTCTCTCTTCCTCCGAGGAGCTTACTGTCACAATGTTTTCCACATTCATACCATCTGTATATTGGTGTCAGTGTTTCTGCAACAGTTCACAGTGGTTAAAAGCTTGCCAATGGGTTGTTTTCTAATGAAAACATACAGAATTAAGTCAGCCAGAGGACTCAGTTTAAGAAACATGACAGCTAGGTGAAACAGAGTTTTGGTATATCTGTTGTGCAATTCCAGGAACTCAATCATGCTGGGCAGGAACAGCAGCGTGTAAATGAGCAGCACCAGGACCAAAGTTCCAACAATTCGTTGTTTTTCTTCAGAGGGGACGGAGACGGAAGCAGAGAGGGCTCTGAGGGTCCCAACCAGGAAGAATATGAACAGTGGGAAGGGAATGATGAGAGCAATGGCGAAGATTCTATTTGTCACAACAAAAGGAACCCAGGGAAACACAGTGAGGAAAAAGACAGGAGGTATGAGCCAGACCACGACACTGACCACCACAGAGATCTTGATGGTGCGTTTGAAGCGGTACCACAGTGGGTGGGCGATGACCAGATATCTGCAATAAAAGATGGACCCGTTGTCTTTGAGGAGGTGCAGAATAATTGAGAAATATGAAAGTCAGAAACAGACGTAGCTACAGGACATATAGTTACCTTTCCAGGGAGACACACACCATGAAGTAAACACTGGTCACTAGGCCACTATAGTAAATGTAAAATTCGATACTGCTTTCATCCCTATATCCTTTTTTTTCCCAAATGATCATGCAGCAGAGCTGAATGAGGTCGGAAATAAGAAGGTTGATGACGTAGATTGGTGCCACATGATCCTTTCGTACCTGCAGAAAAAACATATGACGAGATGATGATGAGAAGACAATCAGTAGTAAATATGTTCTGAACTCATCCTTTTCCCAAACATAACACTTTTTTTCTTCCCAACTACTGCAGTAAAAGCCACGTATGCGTTTTTCATCCATCTCTCATTGTGCTATCAAAGACGTAACACAAATGACACGCTGGTGTATCTGCAGACATGCATCTGGGATGGGATCTTCATGTGCTAGAAAAACGATTGTGATGCAGGTTGGCCAGCTCATTTAAGCATGTAAGCACACAAATCAGCTTTATTCTTGCAGTAGCATTAAATACAAAGACCAGCTGGAGTTTATAATAATCACATTAGTTTTGGTGGTTGTCAGTCATAAAACCCAATTGGATCATTTGACCTGTTGACGAGGTCAAAATCATGCTAGTTTTATAAAATTACCAACCCTGCCTGTAAGAGGAACTGCAAAAGCTAATCTCCATTTCTTTAGTTAAAGCAACACTGTGTAACACTAATTATCTATTAAATCATTTCTAAATTAAATGTCTTTACACCACAACCTCCAAGTCAACTGAAACCTTGCCCCAAAGCCTGATCCAAACAGAGGGGTGGCAGATCTCTATGGGATTTGCTGAAGATACTGCTGATTGGTGGGGGAAGCAAGTGGGAGCAATTAGCAGAGCTTTCAGACTGCGTTCCAGTCATAAAGTCATGTAACGCACATACCAGAAAGGAAAGAGCATAGATGACCGTGAGCGTCAGAGGAAGGCCGATACAGATGATGATGCATGTTACCACATGCATTATGAATTTGACTTTTTGGTCATACTTGACATATAAGTCATATGAGTCAAAGTCATAGTAGTAATCCGGGAAGGTGATGTTCATGTTGTAATCTGCCATTCTTCTGATTGAAACCTGGAGTTCAAGAGACAAAAAATATTTGTGCAGACATTTCAATCCATCTCTGACATGCATGATGAGTTTCTCTGCATGTGCTAACCTCCACAGGCGAATCCAATCACACTCATTAAGGCCCTTTACCTGCTGATGTAACGATCAGCATGTGAAGAAGCTGCTGCACAAGTGGGCATGTGATTTCAAACATCTTAGATCAGTGGTGTCCAAACTTTTTTTCTTGCGGGCCAAAATTGTCGTGTTAGAATCACTCGCGGGCCACAGGTTTTGTTTATAAAATATAGTTGAAAAAATAGTAAGGCTTTGTAGATCAGAATCAAAAGGCTCGCTAAAGAAATCCTTTAATAAAAGGAAATCAAATATTTTGATTTCTTCGTTCTACTTTATTTGTTTTTTTCTCAGAATCAAACCTGTAACGTGGTTCATTTAGCTCGGGTCATTAAATGGTTAAACAACAGTCTGCTTGTTTGCAAAAACTTTGCATACGTTTTTTTTCATAGTTTACAAAAAAATGTGGAAAATAGTAAAAGCTCTAGATTTAAAAAAAACAACATACATGTTACTGAACATTTGTTATTGTTACAGTGTGTGCAGAATATTGTTCAGCCCTTAGAAAAAGAAAAATAAGATAATGTGCCAATCTTAATCAAGGCCTCGGGCCAAAATCTTCTGATTCTTCATTTGAGATTGAGATTCAACTTTATTGTCATTACACATATACAAGTGTAGAGTAACGAAATGAGGTAGTATAGAGTAACGAAATGAGGTAGTGTAGAGTAACGAAATGAGGTAGTGTAGAGTAACGAAATGAGGTAGTGTAGAGTAACGAAATGAGGTAGTGTAGAGTAACGAAATGAGGTAGTGTAGAGTAACGAAATGAGGTAGTATAGAGTAACGAAATGAGGTTGAAGTCATGAAGTCATGGGTTGCAAAAAATCCCCTCAAGGACCGCAAATGGCCCTCGGGCCGCACTTTGGACACCCCTGTCTTAGGCTATATACTTTTAAAGTCTGTCTTACAAATTATGACACAGATGATCATTTCATAATGTTCATGATTTCACAATGTCTGACTAGATTGTATGCTTGACTTTATTTCTTAATTTATTTTTATTTTTTTCTCTATTTTTTTATTTCTCAATTC